AACCGGAGCCTTTGGCTATCCAAAGCCTTTGGTTCACCAACCCGGTTATAGCCCCGGATGTTGGCTATTCGTCCTCTCACTTTGGTGGAAAACACCGTCACGCTAAGGCGGTATTGATTAGGGCTTCCTCACCAGAGGTTATTCGAGACGCTTGGTCGTTTAGGAGCATTTCGCCAGGTGCAAGGGAAGGGTGACCGAGCGCAACCCTAGACACCAACCCCGACCATATTGAGGCTTTTCACATTTCTCGATCTCTTTATTTTGATTGTGTCCCACATTTACCTTATTTGTCGACTGAAAGGGTAACCAATAAACAGCTATTGAAACCGTCACCTGATGCTACAAAGTTCATGGTTTTGAAAATTGAAAAGCTGAAATCTATCTATTTTGGGATTAATTTCCGATCTACGAAGCTGTTATGTAGATCCCCGTTTTGGACACTAGGTACTGATCGTCAAGTGGTTTGTCCCCTGTCGGTGCTTAGAACTCNGGGGGGGGGGGGGGGGGCGAATCAATGGTCTTTCGAAAAGTACAAAATTATCCCGTACGCTTGAATCATTCAGCGAATTCCTGTCCCGAGTGAGTAATTTTTTGACTTGGGCGTCATCGCATCTGAATTGGCGTTAGGTTTGTTTGACTTTACTCATCACTGCAATCTCTCCTAATAGGGTATAATACCCCGTTTGTGTGTTTGACTGTCTTCAGTACCACGATGCAGCTTTCTAATAGTAGACAGGTTAGATCCGTTAATGTAGCTTACAAATATCCACAGCAGTTTTTGAAATGATGTGAAATGATTGTAGCTCGAGATGCGGATGTTGTTTTGTCGAGTAATCGGTTTTAAACTGTGGTGTCTAGAATAGTCATATTCGGATTCTGTCCGAGATTTATCGTTTTTCTATTACGCACCGGTGTTTGATCGACAGCAGACGGGGTTGAACTCAAGAGTTTCGAAGACCTGCTGTTCCGGGGTGCTAACCAGCAACCTAAGCCCCGCGGGACTTGGAGTGCCAAACCAAATTTGGCCCCGACGCTAGGTCGGGCGTGATATAGAACCAGGTGACAGCAAAGCCACCACCTTCGTGCTAGACGGAATTCATCCCTTCACGACATGCATAAAACAAGGGCAATAATCACTATCAGTGGATAATGTCATCAAGAGATTTTCAGTATGACTGATTTTGGGATTGAATTAGATGGCCCAGTTCGGTATCGTCTAGACACATTCAATAAATAACCGAATCTAGCAGTTGTTTTAACTGTCGTGTGATCCGCGTGATTGGATTTATTCTTCCTCATCCCCGTCTCTGTTGCTGTTGTGGTGGTGGTGGTCGCGGAGTGGTTTAGTCGCTGTCACCGGTGTGCTTTGGACCCTGTGGTCCGAGGTTCGAGCCCTGCCACCCAACTTCGTTGATAGGCAGCTTTGCTGTCACCCGGTTCTATACCACGCTGGATCTAGCGGGACCTTATGTGGTTCGTCACTTCAAGCCCCGGGGCTTAGACTACTGGGCACCATCACTGAACAGCAAGTCTCTATGATTATGGGCTCCGCTCCGACTGCTGTTCATCACAAACTGGTGTGTAATAGAATAAAAGGAATTGCTAACGTATATGCCGAGTCGCCAAAACCGAGATACGCGATGGTAATTACATTTCGATTTTAGTTACTCACTATTTGACAGTAGACGCGACAGTTTAGAGCAATCTGGTGCATAACGTACTTGCCATAATTGATGGCTGGCACGCACACTTTTGAAATGCATCTCCGCTCGTGTCTTCTTTTTTTGCAGTCACGTGAAAATGGAACAGCCACGGATAACCCAATCCCGGAGCATTCTACATCATCTTCACCACATTCGTGATACACACAGACACATCGGTTACCGCGCTCCCATAGACATACCGAAGAAAACGAGAAACTGCACGTGCTTGCCGTGAATAGTTGTTAGTACCTCTTTCTCTCTCTCTCTCAGCACGTGCCTAGTCGTGTCAGCAGGATTTTTGTTTTTCTCTCTCGTGTATTTGGCTTCCGGGCGGCCCGATATCTTTTTCTTTTTTCTCTCTCCCTCCGTTATCCTATCCGGGGTGAGCCAGTTTCCCCGATTTGATCATCACATTGTGTTGACTAGTAGATTTTCTATTGTCGATTTGACATGCGCCACAGATTTCGTACCGTTATTTTTCATAAACCCTATCGATTTTTACTCGCTGGAAACTATTATTCTCCTCCCGGGCCATTTATTCGCCAGTGACTATGAAGTTGGCCGTCATAGTCGGGGCAGGCAGGTGCATTGAGTTACTTTGTGTGTAGGTGCGTGATTCGGTCGAAACGACACGGTTGTCATCCTCACTCTGTTACTTGGAGTATTGTGGTGTGGCATAAACGATATTGATTTGAATTGACCATCCTTTTCACACTTCACCTTCACGCATAATCACCGGCTCTTTTGCACTCGTGGATGCACTAGACTCGAGTTTCGCTCCTATTAGTGCTCATCACTGCATATCTACCGTTCCGTTCGGGCTTTGAACTCCAAACCCACGGGGCATGAGAGGCGTGTGTTACCACGGTGTCAACCAGCTCATTTTTTTTATTAAACACCAGAGCGTGATGAACCCCAGACGAGGCGTGCCTCATAATCACGAATATCTGCTGTTCAGTGATGGTAACCGGTAACCTAGGGCCCGGGACTTGGAGTGGTCAGGTGGTGGGGCTCATACTACAGGGTCCAAAACACGCCGATGAAGGTGACTAAACCACTGCGCCACCACCAACCGAGGCTGAATCGAAATTTATATCTGTTCCTGTATGGTCTTCAGCGAAACTCCAGTCTAGTGCTTTCACAAGTGTGTGGTTAACTGGATGAACCGAGGATTGTGCGTGAAGGTCAAGTCCCAGAAGGATGATCAGTTTAAATTAATAATAATGGTTTCTTGCCTTTCATGTTCTGATTCCATGAAAAATTTCTGCGATAGTTAGCATGTAGCAGTCAGTCGCTACGCGGTGCGTGACGGGGCGGGGGGGGGCGTTTTCTATTTAAGGGGTTCACATCACGGTTCGATACTCAATCAGCATCGCGTCGTTGTTCATTAGTTAGAGCCACCAGTAGTGACACAAAATAATTGACTGTTCAAGTGGTTGGGTCCGAACTCCGGACGAATTTGGATGGGCATGCACTGCTGCTGATAATTCACAATGCATCGAATGTAACTGCTCTTACCGTATACTCTTACTGTTTTGTTCAACATTGACTCTTCACAAAATCGGACATTTTGGCACTAACCTTTTGCTATACACACTTGATCCAGTCTATCCGGTAATGATATCCAAGTTTCGCGATACAATCTCACCTCTTGTGCATCTTTCGTTTTGGGTGATCAGTAGCTTTATCTGGTGATGTTACGCCCGTTAGTTTTTGGTAGCGAAAGTATTTGCGATTTATAGCCGAACTCATTTTTAGGAGCAGCATTTTCTCATCTACATTGGTACTGCTTCATAGGTGAGAACTATACAAGAAGTGAGTTCAACCGTGAAATAAGAAGGAGAAGGAGGTTCCTTTTTCAGTTGTCTCTTGCTTCAAGCTACAGAATGTCGATTTCGGGCTGGCATCTGCACCGAAAATTTTCTTCTTATCTGCTTATGGTGACATGTTAGCTTTGAATCGTGTGACTTGATCCTTTTGCTGTAAATCTGGCGTTTCATGAACGCCTTCCACCCCACACCCTCGATATGCGTTCATTTGTCAGATTGTCATTTTGTCGTATCCTCTGCTGTGAACTACTTTAATCTGCTTACTGAAACTTTCCTTCCGGGATGTTAATTGGCATACATAAATTCTTCTCACTTTGTTGATCCCCTTTTATTCCAACACTCGCGCTGTGCGCAAAATTAGTTTTCTATTCCGCGCAAAGCGTTTCTCTACATCCAGAGCACCTTTTATACAAAGCTCAAATACTGCAGTCACGTATGGGGTGGAGCTTCGTATTCCGCTCTTTCTCTCCTCAACCACGTACACAACGTAAGGCCACTGTGCAGCCGATCAGACCATTGTTTTTTCAACCGAGTCATAATCCCTGGGAGGCTAAGACGGGCGAGGTGCGATGCTCGCAAAGATTGGTTGTGCTATATCGTGTAAATGGGAAATGAAACAAGATACGATTTGATCAGTTGTCCTGTAACAGACTAGGTAGCATGCTTGCGTTCTGCCTGTCTAATGAGGTCCCGGGTTCGATGGATTCGCGCGCTGCTGCTGATGAGGCAGTTACTATCCAGTGCTTCCTCAGTTCACCTTTCATTTTCCCTATACATAACGAATTCCCCCCATGAAATTGAATCCAATCCCTCCCCCTACTCTCATGCACACGCACAGAGCAAAACAAGTGAAATTACAGTGTCCGATCCATGGTTGTACAAGCTGGCTAATTGGTCTTTATGACGGGTTTGGTGGATATCCCCCCCCTCAACTTACAGCAGCGTAAGGACGCATCAGATCACATGTAAACTGACTACCTCGACGGGGTTTTCCCCCGAAATCACTGAGGTTCGTCAGATGAACTCCAAGACCTGGTCATTTACTC